ACTTGATGAGAGCCCTTCCTGCTTTCTTTTGGTGCTCCTTGGTTTGGTTCTTCTCTTGCAGTACTCAATATTCTGTAGTGCCTCAATCTGAGCTCTAGACTGTGCATCTCCCTGGAGCAAAATTCTGTTATTGGGCCCATAACAACATCTAGCAGAGACTATGTTCTTACTTGTTGTATGTTTGATGAGGAGATGAGTAGTAAGAAGCTTCAGGCTTGAACAAACCTGATCCTTAGTTTGTAATATAGGACAGGAAAGAAGGGTGCCTCTCCTCAGGAGCCTGAGAAATACTGCTGGGTCATAAGCCACATGGACCCACTAGGAGAATCCACCCTTAAGTTGAAAAGTCATCTGACTACAGGAGGCAACTTAAGGTGTCCAGAACATAGAATTTTCCACAGCGGCTACTTACTATCTTTATAATGTTCTCTCCGCCACTTTCAGGAGCCTCTATGGCCGACCCATTGTCCCATCCCAACCATCCCCATCCAGCCCTGAGTGTCAGGAAGCAGTAGGAGTCTGAAACTCCTTCCCAAGCTCATGTAGTCAAGAGGTTAGAACCTCAGCATTCCTCACCCTCTCCCAAAGGAGGCTGTCACTCTTTCTCATGACACTCCATTGATCTCTACTCTTTTTGACATACATCTAAAAACCTTCCTGTAGCCATCTGAGCCCATCCTTCTCTTGGCCACCCACGGGAAAGATCTTACTGTCTCTGTATCCTTAAAGTACTTGATCTGAGTAGATGCTCGTGAACTAAACAAATGAATTAACAGATAACCTAGTTTCAGTGAGGCTAGAGTAACATGTCTTTCAACTGTTCAGAGACCCTGTCTGGTGCCATTTCCCATTCTTTAAGTCTCTTTGGTCCCTCAGAACACAGGAGGCAGGGTATTGCCTGACACAATTAAGTGCTTAAAAGCTCCATTTGTTCTTCTTACAACAAATCTCTTCCTCTCCAATTGCAGCTGAAGAGAAGACATAGACTGTGTGGCTGCACCAACAAGCTGAGCAGACAGACAATAGGTCCAGAGACCTATCCCTGTTGCTCATACAAACAATATACCAAACTCAACCCAACTGATCAACAGAGAGCCTTGGGCTGCTAGGAGCTTCTCTAGATCAGTGAGGTGTATGGCTCAAACACCGAGCTGACACACAAACTGTGCCTATCCCTCACAGTTTCTTTGGGAGAATCTATGCTCAGGAACACTCAGGATTGTCTAAGAGATAGATATAGAAGGAATGGAGTCCAATGGGTAGGTCTCTAAGAGGAGCTCTCACTCCTTTCACAAGGAGACAGGAAGAGACCCTGGGGACTTCTCAGGGATAGATTCAGGCCTGGTTCAGCTGCTGAGTTGCAGCAAGGCCAATTAAATAATTGGTGTGATGGGGAAAGGAGGGAAGCCACTCCTTTCAGGCAAACTCCCACTAGAGACAGGAGGCTCCATGCAGCTGTGACAACAGCAGCAGCAATAACAGGGCAGGGATCTCCTCCTCTTCCTCCCACTAGCTGAGATCTAATGCTTAAATTAGCACCTTGGAAACACCGAGATCTGCTAGCTGCCTTCTCTACCAGCTCTGCCACTCCTCCAGGACTTCTTTTCAAGCTTGAGTTTCTCTTTTAAGTAAATAATTTAAAAAATAAAGATGTGCTTCCCCTAGAGTTTATCTTTTCAAGTAGGGAATGGCCTCTGGATTCTTCCCATCACTATGGACTGGGGAGAGTTATTTGATGATGGCACCCATGTGACAAGCCTCTATCCATACAGCTTGGTCCAGAAAGGGGCAATGATGCTGACACCAGCATTGCCTGGCTCCCTTGGGGCTTAAGGAGGCAGCCCCTACTCTGCCTTCAGGGGGGATCACAGTAAGAAAGTAAGCAAAAGAAACAAACTTTGATAAACTGTAGGCTCAAGGGCAGGGCCACATCTGTGTCTGTGTTGCTAACTCTATCCCTAATACCTAGTTTAATATTTGGGACAGAGCAGATACTCAATAATTATTTGATAAATCTATTGCTGAATCAATAATGTCAGGTCTCTGTGATAGTCTTTAGAAGGGGTTAGGAAGCAGGGCAATGTCTATGACCCTCAAGTGAGGGATGATTATATTGCTATTTCCATAAGGCTCTCACTCAACCTTAATAAAGTATACTCAGGCTGGGCGTGGTGGCTCACCCCTGTAATACCAGCATTTTGGGAGGCTGAGGTCAGCGGACCACTTGCGGTCAGGCATTCAAGACTAGCCTGGCCAACATAGTGAAACCCCATCTCTAAAAAAAATACAAAAATTAGCCATGCATGGTGGCAGGTGCCTGTAATCCCAGCTACTTGGGAGGCTGAGGTAGGAGAATCGCTTGAATCTGGGAGGTGGAGGTTGCAGTGAGCCAACATTGTGCCACTGTCTGGCCTGGGTGACAGAGAGAGACCCTCATTTCAAAAAAAAAAAAAGTATTATCCTGCAGACAAGGGTCACTTTAGCACTTAAAAGGATCTGAAAGCAGTTAGAGCTTTTCTAAGTGCCTCCTTGCCATACATACTTCAACTCCAGGGCCACACAGACTGGAAGCAGCTCAAGAGTCCTCTACTCAGCCAAACCACTATTCAGAATTTTAGGCAGTAACAGAAGCACCAAGGACAACTCAGAGAGCCTGGTGGCTCTATTTCTTCTCCCCTTTCCTTGAACAGCTATTTCCTCCCTTCTTGGGAACCCCAGATGGGAAATAAGAACCAACTCATTGCTTCCTTCTCCTGATACACTTGAACCACCTCTTCCTTCATCCACCCTTTCTTTTGATTCTTGATTAGATGCTTAGAACTGGAAGGGCAATCTAGTATGACAAGCCAGGTTACCTAGAAAGAGAACTCAGAAAGGAAAATTCTCTTCAGCCAGCCCAAAGTCATTCTTTAAGTTCAGGGGATGGACTTCTCTCCAGGAATTTCTGGCTCCCAAATAATCCAGTGATGGCATTAGGCTAGGAAAAAGTCCTGCAACTCCTCTCTCCAGTTTAATACTGTATGCTTCTGTAAAACTTCTTTGTTTTGGCTTTTAGAACTGTATAAGCAGTCACGAAAGGGGGAAAAAACCATTTGTCTCCTGCTAAGTGGCCACTAATGATTCTCTCTACCATCCTCCAAAAGGTGTGACATAGAGGTGGTGATGGGTCCCTGCCAAGGCCCATCTTGGCTGCCATAATGGGTAGGTTACTCGACCAGGAAGCTACAAAGCACATCTATCAGCCAGCGGGTTGTAGGCCCAACAGTAGACCTGTTTCTGGCAACTCTCCCTAACACAGAAGCAGAAGACTTAGGGAGCCTAGAGCTTTAGAACTTGGCGAGCTCAGCTCTGCTCCAGCCAGCACAACTCAGAGAAATAGGTCACCCACACTTTTGGGTTCCTACCCCACCTTGCCTCCTTCCAATTCCATCTCAGGCTCCAAGGGGATAAAGCAAACACAGCCTAGACATTCCCTCTCTACCCTACTCACTATACGGGCTGACTAGGCCTCCACGTCTCCCACCCGGTTGCCAGGCAGACAAGAGAGGTCAGGTAGCCCCCAGGAGACCAGCAAGCATGGTCTCCCTTAGGCCTAGCCTCCGTGCACCCGAGTTGCCCTCCCCCTTCCATTCCCTCCGCGCCGGCAGCGATGACATCATTCCTCCCTGACTCCGGGACCGCGGACAGGCGGCAGGATCCGCGCCCAGCAAGGACTTCAGGCACGTAGGCCTAAGATAATGGGGGCTCTTCCCAACCAGTGGGCACAAACAGCTCCAGCGCGGCCCCGCTTCCTCTCCCGTTGGTTCCCGAGCTCTCACATCTGCACCCCGATTCCCCATCTCGTCGCGCGTACTCTCCTTCCCCGTTTAGATGTCCCCAGCCTGGACTGCCTGAGCTCCCCAACGGAGAAGAACGGAATTCCCAGGTTCTGCACCAACCACCTTCCCCCACTGATCCCTCACCCCGGCCCAGGGTTCTTATCCATATAACCAGCGGACAGGCGGGCAGGCCCCTCCTCTTCTAAAAACTGATTCCCAATCTCTCAGCCTGACGGCTCCCCCGCCCTCAGCATCACAGGCCTGTAGAACTAAACGCCTCCCCACCGCCCATCCCAGCCCCCTGGGCCTGCCGCTGGCGGTGGCCCACAACAGCTCCCTCGCCAGCCCCCGCTATGGGCCTCCACCAGCAGTGTGCACCATTGTGCCCCCTCCGTTCCATCCGACGGTGCTCTGCCTCCACCGACAGTGCCCTCCGCCCTTACAAGTCCCTTTGCTCTCACCCAGCATATTCTCCCACGGTTTTCTCTTCCTGCAAGTTCCCCTCCCCCGGCAATACATTTTCAGGGACCTCTTTGCCCCAACCGAAGGCACCCCTCCGCACAATCCCCGCGGCCTGATTCCCTCCCTCCCCCTCAAGCGACGCCCCCTCCCGGCCCTGGCCTGCCCGCCGCCCGCCTCCTCACCAGCGGCTGCATCTCCGAGTGCGCGGTGGGCACCTGGAACCGGTCGATCTCCTCCATCATGGTGCCGGCGGGGCGAGCAGACCAGGGGCCGGGCGCGGCCGGGGACGCCGACGGGACCGCGCGGGGCGGCGGCCCCAGGAGCCCGGCGGGTGGTGCAGACTAGGCCGCCCTGGACCAGTCGGGAGGGCAGGGGCCGGGCGGATGCAGGGGTGGGCGGGGGCGAGAGGTTCGCAGGCTGGCCGAGGCCGGCGTGACTCCGTAGGCTTGCCTAGCACTACCGCAGCTGTGGCCGGGCCGAGCCTCAGGTCTTGCCTCGCCTCCTACTCCGCCGCCGCCTCCTGTCAGCAGCTCAGCCACTGCGGTGACTCGGCAACTCCACTTCCGGGTCCGGGACACCGCCCGGATCTTGCATTATTCATAAGGAGGCGGTGTCTGGGGACTCCACCCCGCCCACATGCGGGAGTTCCGAAGGCGCGCGATTCCTGAGGGGCGGGGCTTAATGCAGACTGGCTCGCCGCGCGCCCAACCCCGCCTCCTCTCTGGGCCGGCTAGGGTCGTCAGAGGCGCCTGCGCCTTGGCTGCCGGATGGTTGCTGGGTAACCGCGTCAGGGAGTCGGATTCTATCCTGCAAGGGCGAGGAGACCCGCAACGACTGCTGTCCTAAAGAACCCTTGCGACTGGTTGTTGAAGTGGAAGAGAGTCCAGATTTCTTGTGTGTGGTCAAGGAGACGGACAAACTTTTTGTCTTCAGGCGAGGGAGCGTTTTGTAGGCTCTCCAGGGATTGAGATGTTTCCCGCTTCTACTAAGACTCCCCATAAACAGCCTCGTAAGCAGGTAACGCAGCACACTTTGCCTCCCCTGATGACCTCTGACCTTCGCCGTTGCTAGTGACCACTAATCATACCTCTCCTACTGATCCTTGATCTTTTGTCTGTTGACCCCTTGCCTTCTAACCCCCCACCCCGTGACCTCTGGCATGTGCTCCCACTGACCTCTGACTCTGTCCTGCTCTTTCCTACTAATCCTGGTCTTCTCTCTCATACTGTGTAACTGTATAAGTAGTCACAAAACCCACCGTTTCTTAACTCTCTCCTACTTTTCTTTTCTTAACCATTCCCATCCCTTCACTCCACTTTACCCCATGGGCTCATTCTGACCAGCCTATCCGCCTTAACTCCCCCATCCCCATTACCACGAGTTCCTTCCTCCTTGTCCTCACCTTCTTGTCCCAAAGGAATTTTTTTCTTTTCTTTTCTTTTTTTTTTAAGACAGAGTCTTGCCCTGTAGCCCAGGCTGGAGTGCAGTGGCGCCATCTCAGCTCCCTGTAACCTCTGCCTCCCAGGTTCAAGCGATTCTCCCACTTCAGCCTCCCAAGTAGCTGGGACCACAGGCACAGGGCACCACGCCCAGCTAAATTTTGTATTTTTGGTAAAGACAGGATTTCCCCATATTGCCCAGGCCCATCTCTAACTCCTGAACTCAAGTGATCCTCCTCCCTTGACCTCCCAAAGTGCTGGGATAACAGGCATGATCCACTGTGCCCAGCCTCAAAGGCATTCTTTATACAACCCTTTACTGAGTGCCTAGCTCTAGGCTAGGTGGGAACACAGGCCTTGCCGTTTGGGAGCCCACAGAGGGTGTGCAAGAGAACTAAACAGGACACAGGACAGGTTATATGCAGGAGTCTGACTTTGTTTTCTTTGCTGAGAGAGTTAGGAGAGAGAGGACAGGCAAAAAGGAAGAGGAGAGAGGCCCTTTCTCATCACTGTCCCCACCCCCACACTGCACAACCCAAAACTCACCCCCAACTATTTCTAGAGCCTCATAAGTCTCTCTTCCCTGAGATCCCCTGGTCCACTCCTGTGATTCATTCAGCTATGTGAACATTATGCTCTGATTACCACCTGGACAGATGTCATCCCTTCTCACAGGAAACCCGAGTCATACCCCCCTTAACCCACTGAGCACAGAGTTCTGCCTTCTTCCTTAGCATCACCATGGAAGGCAAGCTAGTCCCAGTTTCCCAAAGAGCCTTCTGTGGTAAAGCCACTCAGTCCTTCAGGAACAACTTTTTCCAAACCCTTTATGAATTACCACTCGGCTAATGTACAGTTTCTAGCTCTGGAAAGCAAGACTTCTATTTATTTATTTCAGATTTACCTCATTCAAGCCTAGGAATATTGAGGTGTAGAGAGTCAATCTCTGGCCACACTACTTATGACTTTGCATATTTTGGTCTAGCCTCCATATTAGCCTTTGCTCCTCTGCTTCTTTCACCTGGTCTTCTGTAGCAGATGGACCTGACTTTCTTAGGTCTCTGCAGCCTTGGGGAAGCTGCTATTCCTGTATGACCATGCCCTAATTTTATGTTGGATTGGGCTTTATGTTGAAGTGTAGGTACTGTATTTGAGCCTCCTGACCCTATATTTACAGGCAGTTTACTTTTATTTATTTATTTTTTTGTGTTTTTTATTTTTGAGTTGGAGTTTCGCTCTTGTCATCCAGGCTGGAGTGCAATGGTGCGATCTCAGCTCACTGCAACCTCTACCTCCCGGATTCAAGTGATTCTCCTGCCCCAGCCTTCTAAGTAGCTAGGATTACAGGCATGTACCACCATGCCTGGCTAATTTTTGTGTTTTTAGTAGAGATGGGGTTTCACCATATTGGTCAGACTGGTCTTGAACTCCTGACCTCAGGTGGTCGAACCCCACTAGGCCTCCCAAAGTGCTGGAATTACAGGCATGAGCCACTGCGCCCCAGCAGTTTGCTTTTAATATAAACAGTATTGAGGTCTTGTTTATATATAATAGAATGTACCATTTTAGTTGTACGTGTTGACAAGTTTTAACAAATTTACACAGGTGTGAACCACCACCACACTCAAGATATAGGATACTTTATCCCAAGAAGTTTCCTGTGCCTCATCCCACCTCCTATTCCCCACCCCTGGCCTGCCTAGGTAACCACAGATCTGCTTTCTGTCATTGCAGATTTGATTTGTCTTTTCTAGCAACTTGCAGTGTGAAGAAGCTTGGGATGGGTTTCTCTAGCCTGTTAGGGAGGCATTAGAGACTAGTTACATTGACAGCACAGAGAGGTAAGAGTAGACATAAAGCCAGAAAAACCTGGATCAACTGGCACTGCCCCCTGGAGAGAAGTGTTGTTTTACTTCAGAGTAAATATTGGTATGTGGGGTGTGAGGAAAGGTTGGGTTTTGCTAGGTGAGTATTCACCCATTTTCTTGCCTCAGTGAAGACCAGTTTGAATCAGTGCTAATCAGGTGTGGGATGTCCTAGAGATGTTTGAGAAGTTGTCCCTGTCTTCTGGGAATCAGTTTGGTGGGGGAGACAGAACACAGGCATACAAAGATAAGGGAGGATGAGATACTTGGGGATGAAGGGGAGAGAGGCCTGCAGGTTAGAGCAGCAGAAAGGCTTTAGGGAGGAGGTAGGTAGGACTGGGATGCCATGGGTGAGGGAAGATCAGGATTGGGTTTGTTAGAGGATGGGGCGAGATTAAATTCCATTTGTTCATGTCACTCCACTAATCACGCCTTTTAGCAGTTCACTGTTACTCTCAGGGTAAAGTCCCAAAAGTCCAGTTTGCTTGGTATGGCCTTTGCCACCCTGCATGGTCTTGCCTTTTCTACCCATCCTACTTCAAACCTCACCGTTTCTTTGTGAAAATTCCACAATCCCAGCAAACTGAACTGCCCTCATTTCCTGGAAAGTGATATTCACACTCTTTTTCTCCTCTAAGCTTTTGAAATCTTTTCCGTCTGCTAGTACCTGCTCTACCCGACTCTGCCCCAAATCTTTCCTTCATATCCTATTCATACTTCAGGTCTAAGCTTGGCCTTCATATTCTTTTACAAACGATTAAGTCCTCTTTCTGGAGGCAAGGTAGGGTGCTATCCCCACTAGACTATAAACTCTGTTATGGTAAGGATCATGTCTGTCTTGTTCATTGTTGATTCCTCTCTACCTAGCACCATACCCGGACTATATTAAATTCAGAGAAAATGAGTTCAATATGAATTCTGAATATCCCAAGTTGCTCTTTGGAAATTTTTATCTGAATGTGTTAGAAGGATAGGAAGGGGTGAACCTGGGATGGGGAGACTAGTGGAGGATTATAACAAGGAGATGTAACTGTGTAAGCATGTTTTTCCAGGTGCATGATTGTATCTGCAGAAGGGCTATGAATGATTCAAATTTGAACCACACGTATCCTTGCCTTAAGAGCTGGGTATTGGAGACTAAGAGATAAAAAATATTGATGTGTAAATATTCATGCAGTAATTATTTATCATACCCACTCTGTGTTAGGTACTGTTCTGGGTATTGGTGATATACCAAGAAACAAAACAAACAAAAATCCCTGCTCTCATGGAGCTTATTTTTTAGTTGGAGGTAAAGGATCAATAAATAAATATGTAAAATATATGGTATATCAGATGGTGATAGATGCCAAGAATAAAACTAAATAGAAGAAGTAGACTATCAGGGAATCAGAAGATTATCATTTAAATAGGATGGTCAGGGAAAGTGTCACAGAGGTGACATATGAGCAAAGACCTGAAGGAAATGAAAGAGTTAACTATGCAATATCTGGGGGTGGAGGGTGGGGTGAAGGGGCGGGGATGGGGAAAACATTCCAGACAGATGGCATAGCAAGTATAAAGTCCCTGAGATGGGCGCCTGCTACACATGTTCTGGGTCAGCAAGGAAAGGAGTAGGAAAAGTGGCAGGAGATAAGGTCAGAGAGGTACATTCCGTTACCCCATAGAGTTAATCAAATAACCCATGGCATATTAAATTGGTCATTATGGAGCTTCGTGAATCATAATTTGTAATTAAAATGCATGAATGTCAGGCACCATAAACCATGACCAGCTCAAAACATCACTGGTAATGCCCGAATAGCAAAACGTCCTTCCTGAAAATTGTGAGAATGCCAACTGGCTGCATGTATACATGTGCAGGAGGCGCTTTGCAGCATTGCCAAACATTGCCTGGCAGCCAGACTTCTTAGTAGAAAACCGAATTAGAGTCTTCTGTGAACTCCAGTTAAAAGCTAATTTTAGTTTATGACTAACAAATTTTAGTACCCCTTTATAACTCAGTTGGTTACCATAAAAAAAAAAAAATCAAAGTCTGGAATTTTACATCATTTTCCTGTAAAAGCCAAATAAACTACTTCTATTTTGGATCATTTTGTGGTCTCTCAAGAGACTCCTATTGTGTCATACTTTTAGAAATATTGATCTAGATTAGGAGTGACTAGGGTAGGAGTGAGTGGGCAGGGTTGGGTAGAAGGCCAAGAGTCTTGTATGATTCAGAGATTTTGAGCCTGGTGATGGGGCCTGGTATCCATAGATGTAAAGACAGGATGATGTGTTTCTGTATGTCCAAAGTAAGATGGCTTCATTCCTGTGACCTCAGTGTCATTCTTATACATATATTCCTCAAGCCCTAGATATGATCTTTTACCCCCTTACCTATTAAATATCTCTCAAATTAAACTACTTTTTTTCATATACACTGCCACCTCCCTAGCCCAGCCTACAATCATCTCACCAAGAGTGCTGTAAAAGCCTTATAACTAGTCTTCCCCACATTCACTCAGTCCCTTTTCAATCCATTCTCTACACTGCATCAAAAGTGATCTTTTTTCTTTTCAAACTGTCAATCTGGTTATGTCATCCCCCACTTAGAACACTTAGTGACTTCCCATTGCTTTTAGGATAGGGACCAGATTTTTAGATAATCCCTCCAAAGACCTGAATGGGCCTGAGGCCTACCTGGGTCTCTATACCTTAATTTGTACCACCA